TGTAATCTCTGTGCTCGTTCTGCTTCACTGACTCCGAAGGAATGTTGTTCGGCGGTCTTGAAGGACATATTAGAAGCAAGCTTATTGCAAAAACAAATGCACCTACACATCTACTCGCATGTCGTCCAATTCTGCATGCAACTTTCTTGACGTTTTCCAAAAAGTCTTTGAACTCCGAGTATGCCTAAAACGCTCAGATCATGAGGGAAAAAGTTCTTATGAAATGTTTGACATTTGCTTGACATTTGTTTGACCTTTACATTCGAAGTAAAGTTCGACTTTTCTATAAATAGCTTTTAGGCATGCTTTACTCTCAGACGCAAAAATCGCAAACTGGAAAAAATTATTAGCATATACGGGTTCTTCTACCACTCTTAACTATGCAGTTTTCAAGTGTCAATTCAATACTACCAATGAATCACAAGTAGATTAATCTACAACATACCTTAGCCTTGATTTCATTTCGAACAGGAGCCATTGTCTTAGCCAGTATCTGTGTGAACCTATACTTCTCCACAAGAGCAAGATGAGTATGTTCCAACTCTTCCAAGACTTTTAGCGCTTGGTAGTACCTAAATGTGATGTAAACTAAACCAAAATGACTTCAAAGTGCCAAAAATTACTTCTTAAGCTGCATCAGCTCTTGTAATCTCGCGTAGTTCTCTAGTACGGGAAGACATACTGATATCTGATCAATCGCAGTTGATGCATTTTTTACGAGTTTTCTGAAAGTGATAAATACGTACACATTCATGAGAAGCTGTAAAGTACGCTAAATCCAAGTAGAATACAGCTAACCTATATTTAACGATTTCCGCACTTTTCTTGGAGATATCCTCGCTTGCCGCTTGTATTTGTGTATTGATAGCAATAGCATCTTGCTGTAAACGATCACCATTACAAAAGCGAATCTTCACTACAAAAGTGGCCTAACCTTGATATCACCACATCGCTCTTTCAGGTGCAGTAGTTCTTTCATAGAATCCACAAAGCCTTGATAATGGAAAGCACACACCTGAAAAACCGCATAGTAGAAACCGAGGCAGATTTCTACGACAGTTAACAACTTTACTATAAAGATTTCTCGTCTATCGAAGAGTCCGCATGTCAGCTTTATTCTGATGGGAGAAAAAGTATGCAGTGACAACTGTAAGTTCCCGGTGATGGTCAATTTGCTATCACAAACCGCGCCGATGCAGTTCACCTTAGTTTTATAAAGTTTTGCTATTTTTGCAAAAAAAAGTGTTGGATGGCGCGGATCACCGATCTACCAATCTT